GGGGGAAGGGGGCACTCAACTAATGACAGCTAATCATTAGTTGCCCCATCAGAGTGCCCCCTAACATTAGTTACTAATGCAAGGGGACACTCTGATAGGGACAACTGATGGGGACAGGTAATGTAATGGGGGAACACTGATGTAGAACACTAGTGTAAAATAGAAATCTGATGGGAACAACTAATGTAAGGGGGCACTCTGATGGGGAACAATAATGTAAAGGGGGAACTCTGGTGGGGAACAATAATGTAAAGGGGGAACTCTGATGGGGAACACTAATGTAAAGGGGCACTCTGATGGGGACATCTAATGTCAGGGGGCACTCTGATGGGGACATCTAATGTCAGGGGGCACTCTGATGGGGACATCTAATGTCAGGGGGCACTCTCATGGGAACATCTAATGTCAGGGGGCACTCTGATGGGGACATTAATGTCAGGGGGCACTCTGATGGGGACATTAATGTCAGGGGGCACTCTGATGGGGACACCTAATGTCAGGGGGCACTCTGATGGGGACACCTAATGTCAGGGGGCACTCTGATGGGGACACCTAATGTCTGGTGGCGCACCACGATGGGGACATCTAATGTCAGGGGGCACTCTGATGGGGGCACCTAATGTCTGGTGGCGCACCGCGATGGGGACATCTAATGTCAGGGGCCACTCTGATGGGGACACCTAATGTCTGGTGGGGCACCACGTTGGGGACATCTAATGTCAGGGGGCACTCTGATGGGGACACCTAATGTATGGGGGCACACCACGTTGGGGACATCTAATGTCAGGGGGCACTCTGATGGGGACATCTATGTAAGGGGGCACGCTGATGGGGAACACTAATGTTAGGGGGCACTCTGATGGGGAACACTAATGTAAAGGGGTGTTCTGATGGGGAACACTAATGTAAAGAGGTGTTCTGATGGGGACAACTCATGTAAGGGGGCATTGAGGGGACATGAGATTCAGACCTCTGCGACCTCTGCTCCAAGAAAATTTCACTTGCCGGACCTCCTTGAGTGATCATTCAATACCCCCGCTCTATGAGCAGTATTATATCTGCTTGGACTACAGTCCTGTAACCAAAGTACACAATGGCAGAATAGACAGCTCACTGTGACAATTTGCTGCAACTGAGGAAACAACCCTTCTCAGCTCCTGCTGAAGTCCAGCTGGGGCTTTTTTATTCCTGCTCTGGAAATCCCCTTTAACTTGCTGTTCAGTCCTCACCTCAGCTCCAATATAATGCGGTTAATGATTACAATTGATTTGCTTTTCCCAGAACCTAGTGTAACATGACACTAACAAACAGAAAGTGCAAGTACTGTACAAGCTAAGCAGGTAGGAAGAGACCAGGATATTGTGCATTGCCCTTGTGCCTCTAGGTGAGAAGCTGGAAGATTCGGTGATTCCAAACAAAACGTTTTCCTTCTGCCAAAATCTAACGACTTCTGGATCAACGGTGAGCAGAACTAAAATTAGGGGGCTATGCTTTGCGTTACTTCTACCTGTATTTGCATTGAACTTGCTGCTTAAAATGTGACACCAGCACACATGTTTCTGTTCAGCTGCTGGGTGTAAACTATCTCTGCATTGTATTATTATATTGTAGGTTTGCTCTTTAGAAATGCTTCTGTTAGAATATTTATATAATATGCCGACGCTGACACTGTCCTTCCTTCTGGAGGGGGGCTACTTTTGTTCCCCATGGTCCCTGTGTGTGGTGTAAAGTAGTCACCGCTCCAAGCTCGGTCCCTGGATGGACTACAATCTCATGTTTAGTATACTAATTTGTATTTAGATTGTAGTCCATCACGGGAGCGAGCTTGGAGCGGTGACTACTTCACAACACACACAGGGACCATGGGGAACAAAAGTAGCCACCCTCCAGAAGGAAGGACAGTGTCAGCACCAATTCAGAGATGATTTGAGGATCTACAGCCGAGTGATACACAAATAGGATACATTTTTGTTCATAGTTACGGGAATTGAATGCAATTTTAAGATTTAACTCCCCAGTTTAGTGTCACTATAAGATTCACAATGACAGCTGAGAAAAAAAAAATCCCTTTAATTTATTTTGGAATATCAGCAATCGTGTGTTAATCTTTACCCAAATGTAGAACTGGAAGAGCGTGTATGTAAATACCTTTCAGGTAAATGCTAAGGTGTCTCCCCTTCCCCCTTCAATATCCTGGGACTATCCCTCTCTTTGATAGATATATATTTATGGTATCATAATGGGAAATTAGCATCAGTGTAACATGGTTAAATTATTTTTTCTTTTTAAATGCAAATTGGGAACCTCATGAAGAGAAGTTGGAATTAGGATTGACCCGCTGGAGGCTGGATGGGATCAACGTAACGTAGTAGACTAACAAACATACATTTAAACTCTGTGTACTTGGCAGACGGGCTTATAGACAAGTCATGACCTTGGCTATTTCCTCGCCTGTCATGACTGCTTAAAGCAGACCATCAACCCCACAGTATACATATACACACACACACTCTGTGTGTATTATATATATATATACACATATACACACACACATATGTACACACACACATATGTACACACACACAAATATACTAATAATTATACTGTATATATTTATTTACTTTTAAAATTCACCTTTTTTGCACTTCCACCCTTCTTGCCTAGGCGAGAATGACATCCCTAGCTGCCTGCATCCTCCTGGGATACTCTCATAATGCATCCTAGGAGGCTTTGGGGCAATCTGGAACACACTGGCCCATGCACTGCGGCCCATTATCAGGGGGGGCAACCTGAAAAAAACTGGGAAGAGACACCCAGCTTCTGAAAATGTAAGCAAAACAAGATGGCGGTGTGGGATCCGGAGTGCAGCGACAGACCAGAGCTGGATTTGCTGGACACGTGCACATGTGTCTTAAGGGCAACCCACCAGGTAAGAGGGGAAGAAAAAAATGAACATGTGAGGTGACGCTTCTCTTTAAACTGGGCCTGCAGGTTGCTATATGGTTTTGGCATAATGTCAATGTGGAGGGTTTTTTGTAGAAAAACATCCTTTTCGTCATAAAAAAAGAGCAAAAGTCTAAACTCCAGGAAAACAGCTAAATACACAAATGAAACATGTCTGCTGTACGAGAGCTGTTTTACCTGTCAACGGATTTGTATTTCTGTCCATCCAAACATTACATATATGCAGCTCTGCCACACAGCACAGCTCTATCCAGCAGGGGAGGAGACCTGACCTTTCTCTGTTGCAGTTTCACTTTCACTTACAGGTCCCATCCCGACCTTGTGAATGGCCAGCGAATGTAGAAGAAGCACACTGATGATAAAATTGATCGATGTCTTACAGGTGGTTCTCAACTGCAGCCACAGCCCGAGTAGAAAACCCTGTTCCCTGCTGGCAGCTGCTGAATGGTACACTGTCTGCTTCTCTGTCTGAAGAGCTTTAACAACCCCCCACCCAGCCCACCAAGTCAAATCTATAGCTCTGAAATCAGCAATGCTCATGCTCCCTGCCAATTGGAGAGTTCTGGCTATGACTTAGCAGCGGGTGTGTTGAGCCTCTGTAGAGAGACCACTGCTTCCATATATATATATTTATTAGGGATGCACCAATACTAGTATTGGTATTGGTGCCGATACCGAGTATTCGGGTGAGTACTTGTACTCGCCCTAATGCTCCTGATGCTTATCCCGATACTTGAACTTCCGGTATCAGGAAGCCGGGTGGGGAGTCATAGAGCTGGCTTCCCGGGCCAATCAGGAAGCTGGCCAAACAGGAAGCCGGGTGGCGAGTCATTACCCACCCCCCTGGCTTCCTGATTGGCCAGTAAGCCAGCTGCATGCTTCCTTGTGACTAGGGAGCATGGAGCCGGCTTTCCAGCTAATCAGGAAAGCGGGCGGAGAGCCATCACACGTCTCCCAGCTTCCTTAATGGAACTGCCGGTATCGCCGAATTCCTGAGAAAAAAAATATTGGTGCTCGATACCGAAAAACTGGTATTGGTGCATCATATATATATATGTATACTCTCTGTATATATATATATACATATATATATATATATATATACACACATACACTAACAGTATGTAAATATACACACACATTATATATATATACACATATATATATATATACACACACACACCTGGAATATACTGTATTTAGCGGATTTACACTAATAGTTTAATTGGACTTTAACCTTTACTAAAAAAAAAACACTTTTCTCTTGACTGGATTCTCGGGATTTGACTTCTTGTTATAAGTAACAAGCAGGGTTTGCTGCACCTTTTACAAGAAAAATTCCACAGTCGGAAACAAAACAAAGAAACAAAGATATGAAAAATAAGACTGATAGTTTACCTTTAACCTCGGAATATGTACCTGAAATAGATAACATCAATAGAAGAGAGACACAAAGATTTCCCTTCCTACATTCCATAACGTCCCGGGGCAAGTCTGAAGCTGCCGAAAATGCATAGCCCAACTGAGAGCGTGCATAGCCCAACTGAGAGCCTGCATAGCCCAACTGAGAGCACGCATAGCCCACCTCAGAGCACGCATAGCCCACCTCAGAGCACGCATAGCCCACCTCAGAGCACGCATAGCCCACTTGAGAGCTTGCATAGCCCAACTGACAGTCCGCACACCCCACCTAAAAGCCTGCAGAGTCCACCTGATAGCCCGCACAGCCCTGTGAGAGCCCACACAGGCCACCTTAGACCCTGGAGACATCAGGGCGCCACCCCGGAACAACAAAGTGTATGTAGCTTAATTTTATTTTGTATTGCTGTATAATGTATTGCTGGAATTTGTAGTCATCTATAGCCGGCCTCCTTACTCCCTCCCCTGGCTGTCTCTACTTGCTCTTTCTCCTGGCTGCCTCTCCTCGCTCTCTCCTTTATACTCTGAAAAATAAATATTTGCTGCGCTCGCTGCTAGAGTGTTCGGGTTTCACTTGAAGAAAAGGTGGTAACCCTAGCTGTGTATAGGGTGTGAGGATGCCAATGGACATACCATCGCTGCAGCAGATGGGACAGGCCGGAGAGCGATGTAACAGCCAGCCGGCTGCAAGGTTCGGGCAAGTATAGGGTATCAAAATGAGCACTTCACCCTTGCAATGCAGGGATAGCCCCACTGCAAGGGTTAATAATCATTTTCCCTGGAATTCTGCTATACAATGTTGGATATCATCGCACTCCTACTCTCGGGGGCACAGGCAGCAATAAGAACCTAAAAGGCATTTTAATCACTCTATTTAAATTTTAAAAAAAATGGCTTTGCAATGATAGTGAGGTCTGACAAACCCCAAATTATGTGAGGAGAATGAAAAAGTGGGCCACCATCAGAGACATACCTCCTCTCTTCTGGGCCTCAGTGCCTAATATCATCCACATTATCTCCTAATTCAGGGTTATATAAAATGTTTTACCGCTACAGACCCCAAATCGATTTCCCAATATAGCCCCATTTGCCAGGCTGTCATATTCATATAAGTATGGCTTCAACAGATGTCGTTAGCTTGGTTATACTTCACATACGTATGGCTATGGACACAACGACTGAAAGAAAATCATGAGTATTTTATCATACAATATGTGTGTGTTAGCTTTTTAATGTATTCATTGAATGGCATTTAATACTATATTGCATCAGACAATTACAGAATTATACAGAGACTCACTACCTGTGTCTTCTGACACAACAAGTCAATTTCTTCATTTTTTTAAACAATGTAATAAATCATTCAATTATTTAAAAAATTTATTGAATTAAATTATTTAATAATGCATAGAATCCCATTTCAATATTTTTCATTAATTAAAGAAGATTCAGTCCTCTAACTCCATAATTTGGTTTATATAACCCAGTAGATTGTTAAGAACCACTTTTCTGACTAATGACACCTTACATTTAAATGGTTACTACAGTACAACTAATGTTTACACCTAAAAACCTTTTTAGGCAATATGCCCATCACCTGTGTGAGCGCATACATTGATTACTGCTGTAATAGAGGAGGCGATTAGCATTCTCAGAACAGGGTTAGAGATGGGTCCCCATGGTCTTGATAGTGGTTGCTACCTACATTGGGTCCCCATGGTCTTGATAGTGGTTGCCACCTACATTGGGTCCCCATGGTGTTGATAGTGATTGCTACCTACATTGGGTCCCCATGGTCTTGATAGTGGTTTCTACCTACATTGGGTCCCCATGGTCTTGATAGTTGTTGCTACCTACATTGCTTCATCAATATTTTCTAGTGCGTAATAACAAGAGAGTAGTACCCTGTAGCTCTAGGGGATGGCTAGCAGACTTGTGAACCTGCAAATTATCACAATGCAAAGTGGAGCTGAACAATTTAGGAACTACCTATTGTTTAGCTGTTCCAGGTTTGGAACACTTTGTGTAACACATGTCTCTAAGCAACAGAATGTACCGGCAGCCCCGTCTGGTAGACGCACATAAATGGAGGAACTTTGATCCCAATGCACTGCAGCGAGTCAATGCAAAGCAACCCATGATCTTATTGAAAGCCTAATAGAACTTTCAGTTTAAATCGGCTGAATGAATTTCAGGTGAATATGAACAAAAGGTGTGCAAAGTCTGATAGTTTGTATTCTTTAGAAAGCAGCCACAGCCTGAGTAGAAAAGCCTGTGCCCTGTCATTATTCTGCATTGGACCCTTGATCTCTGTGTGGAAGCAGTGGTTGCTCTGCAGAGGTACAGCATATCTCCTGCTGAGTAGGACCTATATCTCTGCAATAAGTAAAGCTCCCTGCTGGTTGGAGACAAGGATCCTCCTCTCAGAGGTCAGGCTATTCTACTCAAGCTGTGGCTGCTTTATAAAGGGAACTAACTAGAAGGCCTCATTCACACGAGAAAAGGCCGGCACGTATAGCTCCGTGCTGCATGCACGGCCGTATCGGGCAGCTCCCGGGGAGGACAGGTGCTGCGTGTGATTACTACGCTGCCCCTGTCCTTCTCTATGGGAATACGCAGCCGTACGCCGCTCTATGCTCACCTCAAGTGCAGGTCCTTACGGGTGCCCGGGCTCGGACGCAGACAGGATCCATCCTGTCAGCGTATGAGTGCGGACACCCGCACGGACGTGCAGGGCGGGTGAGCGTAGGGCGGCATACGGCTGCGTATTCCCATAGAGGACAGGGGCAGCGTACTAATCACATGCAGCACCTGTCCTTCCCGGGAGCTGCCCGATACAGCCATGCATGCAGCACGGAGCTGTACGTGCCGGCCGAATAAGGCCTAATAATGATCATATCTACAGCTCAGCTAAGGCCTAAGAGTTTGCACACCCTTTGTTTTGATGCACCCAGAATGTAATTAGCTGTTTAAAATGTAAAGGGCAATTGGGCTCTACTCCAAAGTTACAGTGACAATGAAAAGGCGTTGCACTTCCTGTAATATATTTGTTGTAATGGCTTCTGGTAGGACAGGGAAGTACCAAATAACATTACCATATCATTATATTAGAATGATGGAGATCTGGGCCAGGCTAAAGAGAAATGGAAATCCCCAGGAACTTCATGTGAAACAGAGTCTCAGCATCAAATTAATTTATTTTTGTTTTTTCAGGCAGACGAGCACAGTGTATAGATAAGGCATGGAGCCATCACCTCCAGACTCTCACACAAGACCCTAAGAAAAAATAGGTATAAATGGAATAGACCCATTTGAAGAGAAGAGTCCAGGTTTATCAAACCCATTTGGAAACTTTAGAATCAGTAAAAAAAGCCCAAAGAAATCAGACGACACCGAACTGCAAAGCTCGTCAGAGAAGTCAACAGTTGGTCGAAATAACCAAAAAAAAGGAACAAACCCATTTGGAGATTCAGAACCAATAGCGGAAGAGAAAAGTCAAGGCCTACAGAACACTTTTGGAGGCTTTAGAATGAGTAAAAAAATGTCAAGGAAGCAAAGTGAAGGAGAACAACAAAGCTCTCCAGGGACGGAATCAACAAATAGGAGGGATTACAAAGACCAAGAACAGAAGGATGGGACAAACCCATTTGAAGAATCACAACCTCAAGCTGGAGTGAAGAGTCAAGGTTTGTCGAAACCATTTGGAAGCTTTAGAATCAGTAAAAAAAGCAGAAAGAACTCAAATGACACCAAACTACCACGCTCGCCAGAGAAGTCAAACGCTGGGAAAGATAACAAAGCCCAAGAGGAAAAAGGAGAAGCAAAACTATTTGAAGAGTCAGATTCAAAAGCGGAAGAGAAAAGTCCCGGTGTGCCGAATCCTTTCGGGCCCTTTAGGATCAGTAAAAAAAATTTGAAGAAACCACAAGAAGCAGAAGAGCCGAGCTCCCCGGAGAAGAAGGAGTCACCAGCTGGACTCGGCCAAATGTTTAAGGGCAGTAAAAGAGGTGGGAAGCGCAATAGCCAAGTGGAAGAGTTAAACTCTCCAGACAAAAAGGAACCCTTTGGTCAACTTGGCGCTAGGTTAAGTAAAATTTATAATAAGAAGAAGCATGAGCATGCGGAAGAGCCAAATTCACCGGATAAGAAGGAGTCTTCTCTGGTCCAAAAAGTAAAAACTAGCATGAAGGCAAAAAAGAAAATAGACTTTAATGAACCCGAAGACAACAATAGAATAGAAGAACTTAGACAAGACAAGATGGAAGCTGTTGAAGAAGAAAATATTTTGTCCGGTGAGTTTCTTATTTTCAATATAGTTTCTTTTTTAATATAACACTTCGGGGTGTATTTATAAATATTTCACAGAGCCATTCGCCCCGCAAATCTCTGGGAATGTTCATTCTGTGCAAATAGATACAAAAACAATTGTTCTTGTCTGTGCATTTTCTATACAAGTCGAATGTTATTTTGTATAATGTACTAATGCATTATGTCCACTAGATGGAGCTGAGAAGCACAGAAAATACTTAATTTCCTATGCTCCTCAGCTCCATCTAGTGGTCATAACACAGTAATACAGCACATTACATTCGACCCTAAAAGAAACTATACTAAGAACGTATGTTTTTGTCTCCATGCAAAATGAACATTCACAGACTTTCGCAGGGTAAATCGCTCTGCAAATTGTTTATAAATAGGCCCCTTAAAAAGAAAGTATGGTATACTTTCGTTGAGCACAAATCATGAGTTGTTGCACTGTTTACCCTAAAGTAATTTTTGATGTAACGTTCAAATATACCTCTGCAATCAGCTAATCTAATGCCAGTCTAATGATTGGAGCGCTATAGGTCTGACTTAGCAGGGGGCTCGTGGTACCTCGGCAGAGAGAACACTGCTTCCCCACAGAGAACATGCGTTGCATTGCGTTAGGGCAGTCTATTAATTTCAACTGGCTGCCAAACCCCACATTGGACACGTACCAGTTTTGGAAGTGCAGCTTTTGCAATACACGGTAGTGCGTTACCTTATGATATGATGCACTGCAACACTAGATTGTTCTCTTGCCATTGGAGTGCCATTGGCCATGACTGGCGCCACAATGCACTAACCCACATGTATGTTGTGTTAACATGAATTCCAGTAATGCACACCTAAGTACACGCTTAGGCGGGAAAAGGCCCTAGCAGTTTGCTTCATTTAGAAAGCAGCCATAGCCAGAGGAGTAAAGCCTGTCCTCCGAAACGTGCATCTGTAAAGCATAAACACTGCGTAATCTTCAATGGGGCAGACAACAAATAGTAGCAATTAAGCAATGGACACTTGTAAGTAAGGAATCCAAATAGATGTAGAGTTTCCATACAGATAGGCAGATCTCAAATAAACAAAAACCTTGGAGCCTTGAGTCCTTGGAGGTCTCCAGCTTAGGAAAGAGAGTGACTGCATTCTTCTAGTCTAGTCCAGATAAAGTGTATTGTTTACTTATTACAGGCATTGTTTAATTATTACGGGCATTTATTTACATAGTCAGTCACATCAGTCCCTGCCCTTGAGGAGCTTACAATCTAAGGTCCCTATTACACATATACAGGGCCAATGTAGACAGGAACTAATTACCCGGAGGAAACCCACGCAAGCACAGGGAGAACATTTCAAACTCCTTCAGATAGTGTCCTGACTGAGATTTGAACCAGGGGACCCCAGTGCTGCAAGGCAGAGGTGCTAACCACCAAGGCACTGTGTTAGAGCCTTATAAAGTGAAACTGCGTTTTGGGTGTTCAACATCCCCTTTATCAGGGCTACAACTTACAGGGTTATTCACTAAAAGGGTGAAGAGGTTGGAGAAGGCAGGAGAAGTGAACAATCTAGGCCAAAATAGCTGATTTGGAGAAAATCCTCCAATTCAGCTCACTTTTCAGTTCAGCTATATAGTAAGGCCTGGAGCTATGGATAGCAGAGGAATAAGCGGAAGGCCTGCATGACAAGGCTGTGAAGGGGAACGAGGATTGGGAAGGATTAAGGAGAGATAGGAAAAGGTTATAGATGGGTCACTTACGGGATTGGATGAAGGGGTCGTCCAGGAGGGGCTTCAGGAAGTTTAGTCAGGAAGGAGTCCGGATGTTCAGTTGGGAGTCCGGCAACAGAGGAAGAACTTAAATGTGAGATGGTCTGTGTTTCGGGTCACTGCTGTGGCTTGCGGTTTGGATCCTTGGAGGCAGTTGTCAGTGGTTACATATCTGGACGGGGGACCCATCCGTGGTATGGGTGTCCTTCAGTAGCCGTACGGTCAGATGGGTATGACCAGTTAATAGGGACCAACGTGGGTCTGCGGGCAATTTAGTTACATCCCCGAGGCGGTGTATGGCGGCTGGGGGCATTCAGTTACAAGAAACAGATACTGGTCTGTTTTTAGAGTACGATTGCCTTTAAGGACCTTGAAACCGAACAAGTTGATACAGTATGGTTATGGTTTTTTGTTGATGTTGTTATTTATAATGTTATTTATAAGGATTTATAATAAAAGGCTGCTGTGGCCATTTAAACTCCTGCGGTTGTGTGGCGTATTTATTGGTAACAGGGGAGGGGGGGTTTGAAGTGATGAGGATACTGGGAAAGGGACGTCTGAGCTACCTGAGTCTTGCCCTAGATTGTTCACTTCTGCCTTCTCCAAACTCTTCACCCTTTTGGGAACAACCCTGTAAAAGAGTCCACTTCTGCTCATTTCAATTGCATAGACGGGTGCTGCCTTACAGATCACAGCACATATTTAGGAAAACTGATCACATTTCAGTTTTCTGTGGGTTTAGATATACTTTAAATATGGAACGTGTAGCTCTTTACTTATAATTCCCCCTTTCAGACTTCTCGCAGCGCCGTCTGTAATTTAGACTTGTTGCCATGCGGTACCGCAGTATCAGAAGTCGCTCTTATTCCTTATGAAATAATTTGTGTTGATTGGTTCTCTGCCAGAATGGGATATTTATGGGAGCAAAATTATAACCTTGGATGGCAATGCTTCTCTCTAAGTAGGGTCTCCGATGTGCTGCAGAGTATACAGTATAGACTATGATTATACTATTTATATATAGATAGCTTCCGGCTCAAATTGCCGCTTCTGTGGTGGGCCAAACCGGCAAGACTCCGACCTATTCTGGAGCTGACAGCCCAAAGCTTGGAACACCGATGAGGAGAAAAGCAATGGAATGTACTTTTGTTTGTTGTTGCCTCCAACAGGAATTTTGCAGTTATCTAATGTGAGTGTATATGCTTTTCCCATCGAAACTGCCAGTTAGCAGCAGTTAGCAGATGTTACAGAATGGCGTGGTCATGTGATCTCTAAAAAGCTGCACCTCAAGGAAGTTTATGGCGGTGTTTCCCAACCTTTTTTCAGTCTCAACACTCTTTAAAAATATGCAAAGTCTCGAAACACCCCAGTCTAAAATGTCATAGATTTTAAGGGGGACCCCATGCAAAAACACACACAAAAGGGGTTTTCCCCTTCACATCAAGGTGCCCCCTTTAAATCAAGATCCCCCTCTTCACATCAGAGTCACCCTATGCATCAGTAGCCCCCCCTTTACATCAGAAGCCCCTCTTTCATATCAGAGCCCCCCCTTTCACATCAGAATTCCCCCTTTAAATCAAGATCCCCCTCTTCACATCAGAGTCACCCTTTGCATCAGTAACCCCCCTTTACATCAGAAACCCGTTTCACATCAGAAGACCCACTTTCAAATCAGAGTCCCCCTTTCATATAAGAGCCCCCCCTTTACATCAAGAGCCCCCTTCACCTCAGTCTTCATTCCCCCTTCACATTACAGTACCACAAAATTTTGAGGCACCCCTGAGGAAGCCAGGAGGCACACCAGGGTGCCACTGCTTTTTATGGGATGTATTTATAAACCTGGTTCTGGCTGGGGGTGGTTCTGGCTGGTGGTGGAAGGGCATCTAGCATTGGATGGCAACTGGGTGGGGGGGAACCCATAGCCCAGAGTTGGGATTTAACGCAATGGACGCATATTGGAAGCATATTGTGGGTGCAGGGCTAACTCTTGGGTGAAATTGCACTGTGTGTACAGGTTTACTGGGGACTACAGCCACAGAAGCAAGATACTGACAGGGGCAAGTTCCATTTTCCGTTACAGGCCCAACACATTTTTCTTCTGTCCAACAGCGTACTCTAAAACGAAAAAGTAGAAACGAGCATATTCCCATATTGATGTGTTTTGGCTTTGCTCCCCAGCTTCAGCGTGTCATATAATCTGTTGCTGCATTTGGTGAGCTTTTTGGATTTACAGCATATTCTGTGGTTAAGGAGTTAAAGGGACGGTTTGTACACAGTGCATTCCAAACATATCTCAGCTGTTCTGCTCAGCATTTCTTTTTCCCCTACATGGAACAAATCATTAAAAAAAGTCACCTTTGCACGATGCAGAATTATGAAGGAGCCCGTGGCTCACCATCTGAACCACACGTTCCAGCAGGGGACCCTGCTTGACTGCTGCAGTGCTTCTAGATCACACAGGCTACTATGTTCCTCAAGCCCCTTTTTAAAGATTCCTGACCCCCTATACAGCTTCCAAAACCCTGATGAAGGGAGACCTATGCAAATCCTGATACACATCGGCTGTATAATCTTTTATTACTTCAATGAAGGACTAATACATTTAGATTTCTGCACTCTAACAATTAATGTGGTGCTCACTTTGTGTTTCTACATGTCTTATCTATCAGAAATAGCTATGTGTGCTGTTTAGTTGCATTCTCTCCCTGTCAGCCCAGTATCTCTGCACACTATAAAATAAATAAGAAATCCAGGAGGGGTGGTGGGAGCTGGGCACAGCCGGTGTGCAGACCCAGGAACTCAGCATTGTGATCTCACTAGTAAAGTCCTTAAGAGATAGAAGACATTTCAGGTGGTTTGGCTTTGCAAAAGCTACAATAGTTTTCTGTGCCCTGATCCTTTAATGAATCAGCCCGTTAACTGATCTTACTTTCTGAGATACTGACGTGGAACACGTTAATCCGGAGTTTCCACTGCAGAAGCCTACCCTGCTACATCTTTGTTCTGGGTCAGAGACCAAAACTATGGAAACCAGAGACGACCAGGAAACTAGCATGCGTAGAAAGATACCAGCAATGTCTGCCTACTTGATTCCTTAACGTGAAATTAAAGTCAAAATGCTTTTAAGCTATTTCAAATGCTGACTAGATCCCTTTCAATGGATGCTGCTCCTGCTCCTTGAATTAGCTAGTCCCCTGAGCACTGGCCCTGATATCCTCTGTTTTAGGGTGGCTCCTTTCCCTTTCAGGGTACTATGGTCCCTTGTGTGTGCTGGTAAATTGTGTGTGCCTCCATAAACATACAGACAATACAAAACACAAAAAAATCCCCAGCTTCACCTGCCAGCTTGCCTGCAACCAAACAAATTGCCCTGTCAACAGTATGCGTTAAAATCAGAGGTTTTAGTTGCAAAACATACAGACACAGCAAGGCAAGACAATCCCCTGCTACCCACTCCCGCTTCCTCCTCCCTTCTCTAAGTTAGTAAATGGACAACTGTCCCTGGTGACCCTGTACTATACAGGAAGACTAGGAAGTAAATGGACAATTGTCCCTGGTGACCCTTCTCACTCTGAAACTTGACCCACTGATATCTTACCGGAAAGGTTTACTCAGAGTAAACCTTTCAGGGAGAAAATGCCTCTCTCGCGGACATCAGGGAGCTGCTGTCCAAAAGAGGGAGACTCCCTGAACATCAGGGAGACTTGAGATCCCTGTGTACTATACAGGAAGTAAATGGAAAACGGTCCCTGGTGACCCTGTACTATACAGGAAGTAAATGGAAAACTGTCCCTGGTGACCCTGTACTATACAGGAAGTAAATGGACAACTGTCCCTGGTGATCCTTTACTATAGGAAGTAAATGGACAACTGTCCCTGGTGACCCTGTACTATACAGGAAGTAAATGGAAAACTGTCCCTGGTGACCCTGTACTATACAGGAAGTAAATGGACAACTGTTCCTCGTGATACTGTACTATACAGGAAGTTCAGGGAAGCAGAGTTGACAGAGTTGCTGAGAAACATGATGACTTTAAGTGCTTGGGTAGAACTTTAAATAAATACTTTGCTGGGCAATGTATACTTGTTTGATCTAGATTCATTATTAAAAAAGAAAATACTACGGGAACATTTTGTTTAGGAGAATCACTTATGGTAATATGTACAATACATATTTAATATTGAAATATAAAAATCAAACATAGGTAGATAGCTGTTCAGTTGACGCATATATTACTGAATTATGTTTTTCTATGTGTATTTAATTTTAGTCTAGGTTACATATGATGATTAACGCATGTTCTTTCTTCCAGTAATGCAAATAAATGAACTTATTCATAGCAGACAGCTTCAGAAGGCCTTCAGAAGTATCAAATTCATGGAGGACAAGCTCATAGAAGAGTGCAAGGGCGACAACTACTATGAGAATATAACAGAGTTCACTATACGAGCAAGAGACGTGGACTTGTTGTACGGATCCCTGTTTAACATGGTACGATCCATTGTGAAAGAGACTCTGGATCAGGAAGTGGATGAGCCTTTGGCTGCTGCTGTGGTCTACGTTATAGAAAACGAGGCCATCCTTCATGAAAACACAAGCGTACCTTTGGGAAATTCGGAGATCATTCTTGGCCAACCAAGACGATGGAAACATTTATGGAAGGAAGCGGTTAAAGACTGCGTGGCCAAACGAATAGAGTCAGTGCCCCACAACCCGACAGAGGAGAGTTGGCTTCCAAAACACTTGGCAAACCTTAAGATCAATACTTTACAAGACTTGTTAAAAGTGAAGAACTCCTTAATGTCTCTTTATCCTGAGGACTACAAGGTGTGCTCCACCTATCTCCGAAGCTTTCATGATGCCCTGTCTTCCCATTTACAGAAGAATGTGGTGACCCATGCCTCAGAACCGAGTCAATTGTACAGCCTGCTTGACTTCATCATGAATAAGTACAAAAGGTAAGGCCAAGTCTCAGCGATAAATATACATGTCACGAATGCTACAGGTGAAGTCCCCATGAAGTGTTTTTCTTTTTAGTCTATGGCACAGCCTAGCAAAGAATGCATTTCACTGTGATAGTGATTGTCAGTGTGACTATTATGAGGTTACAGTATAACATCAGTTTCAATATTATGGGGCTATCTGTCCCTTCTCACCCTGTCATGGGTAGGTCTTATATTACAGAAATCCCTGAAGATAGTGCTAGGTCTTACTATCGGGGTAGGTCTTACTTTCGGGGAAACACGGTATATTGCCCACCACAGACCTCAGTTCAGCAGGGACTTTGTTCTTGGCTTCCCGCCAATGCCAGCTCGGAAAGACCTTCTGTCCTCTCCATTGATTCATCTGGGCTTTGCATACTGCATATACAGTATGGAGGCTGTTCTGCATAGACTTTAATAGAGAAGCCATCTACAACTAAAATTGTACCTAGCCTGCAAGTAGTTGTCCTTTCCATTAGAATCTCTGCCGGTACTGGCATAGGATGCGGCCTGTAGAATAAGTCGCTTCCTGATCTGCTGTGGGCATTTTATATGGGATGAGGGGGTGGGGCAAATAGCCCCATAATTATTGATTTTTGTTGTCCTTTAAGGTTTAGGGTTGTGTGGTTAGGATTGATTCAAAGCAAAGGTTAAGGGTTAGATTCAGGCTAAGAGCATAGGAAAGGTTTATCAGCTGAACTTGCATTAGGTTCAGGACTCGAAGTTAGTTTGAGGTTAAGGTTGAAGGATTGATATTGTTAGAATACATATTATTGTATCTATAGCAATAACTTGTGCAGTATACATTTTCGGTCACTAGATGGCAGTGTTTATACGTTTTGTTATCTATGGTATATATTTATATATATCTATGGTATATATATATATATATATATATATAGATATATATATATCTATATATATATATATATATATCTGTTGTATTGAATAAGGTGGAAAATAAAGCTGTGGCTTCCTTCCTGTTTTCCAAGCCAAGCCATGTGCAGCATGCATATCAGACTATGTGCTTGTGTTTCTCTGTGAGGCCGAAGTTCCAACAGATATGAGGTTTTGGATTGGGTTAAGGTCAAGGCGTGTAGCATTAGTTCATTTTTAGGTGATAATTTGTTTTTTAGGTGTGAAATTGGTGCCAAAAGAGTCCAAATAACTGAGCCAGCTTTATTCTACCAAAAACATGCTGCACCATGCTAGCGTTAGCATTCCTTATTCATTACACAAACTTTCTACGGGGTACCAGTCAAGATGGCAACATACCCGCCCTCCACTTTTTTATTTAAATCAATTTAAAAAAAAATTGCACTGAGAAATTTTGGAGGCTGCCAATGCTGTCCTCTCCTTTTTTCAAATGCTCGGGTCTCTTGCTGAACCAATGGTTTCTAAGTCACTGACCTGGAATACAGTAAGCGTGCAGATTAGGAGCTCTGATTTCACATGCTTGTTCTGGACCAGTGGCAAAGGATTGATGCCAGAGCCAGCCAGGCAACTAGTATTTTCAGATAATGGGTAGCCATGATGGCTCCCTTTTTCTTTTCATTAGCCGAAAACATGGCTAGAGTGGTGATCTGCCTTTTCTTTGTTGTCATTTAACTAATACAGCCAGGTCACCGAGCTGACCACAGCCAGGTGATTGGACAATGAAGGTCAATTGGACAACAGCAGGACACGCATGAGGTCATCAGTTTGCTCTTTCCTGTTAGCAGGCTACTCCTGTTGGGATGAGTCTCCACACACGAGACCTGCTAAAGTCCATGAACCCATCGCACTCCTTACCGCTTTCTCCATATGAATTGGGTGGGTGCAGAGGTGCTCAACGGATGGCAACCGTCATGTACACAAATAGTTAAGGACACCGGCACTCCAGATGCAGATCAAATGCGTCTTTTTATTGACGTATATGCAGCATATCACACTGGGGCACCGTCTCAGCGTGATATGCCTAAGGAAGGGGATCCTGCAAGACCCAAAAACGTTGCACCCCTGTGATATGTTACGTCAATAAAAAGACGCATTTGATCTGCATCTGGAGTGCCGGTGTCCCTAACTCTATTTCTGCTAAGAAGAGGGTTACAGGGTGGTAATATAGAGAAAGATTTATGTACTCGTTCTGTCTTCAAAATAGATGAAATAAATATTTTAGTAAATCCATAACGGAGATAACTTTTGATGATTTAAATTTTCTCCCATGACTTTAGCTTTTAAACTCCTGATATTCCCCTGCAGTCACCCCCCTTTAATTGTGCCACCTCTCCACCTGCATGTATGCCTTGTTTTTCCATGTTGAGCTCAGCAGCAGCAGCAAACAACAGAAAGGTTGGGTACAGCAGCTGATCCTACGCACTGTAACTAATTATTCATCCTTGGTACCTCGTGTTCTACAAATAAAGCAATTTTCCTCCACACTTAACTTGTTTTCCATGCAGCCTACAATGCGTGCCTTGGTGTCAGTGGCGTGATGTCACCCACCTCCCCTCCTTATTGTCAGATGGTCTTTATGTGCAGAAATGTTGGTTGCATAGGTATTGTTGTGATATAGTCACAGTGACTCAGATGAGGGGACATTAGATGATTTAATAGAGTGTTTAAAAATATCGCTAACATGAGTCAGGAGCGTGCATTGTGACAAAGCAAACACAGAATAACAGACCCATGGTCTATCTATCTATCTATCTATCTATCTATCTATCTATCTATCTATCTATCTATCTATCTATCTATCTATCTAATAAGTCAATCATATGCAGGTATTGTAACTCTCTAATCTCCAGCTCAAAAAATATTGTTTAATATTTTTTGACATACAGGTGAAACTCGAATAATTAGAATATCGTGCAAAGTTCATTTATTTCACTAATGCAACTTAAAAGGTGAAACTAATAACTAATGCAAAGCAAGATAGTTCAAGCCGTGATTTGTCATCATTGTGATGATTATGGCTTACAGCTCATGAAAACCCCAAGAACCCCAAATCCACAATCTCAGAAAAGTAGATTATTACATGCAATCAATAAAACAAGGATTGTACATAGAACAATATCGGACCTCTGAAAAGTACAAGCATGCATATGTACTCAGTACTTGGTTTGGGCCCCTTTTGCAGCAATTGCTGCCATTACTTTTGCCCGATATTCTAATTATTCGAGTTTCACCTGTACATATTTACATTAATTGTATCCAGGGCTGGATTTCCAACAAGGCCAACCAAGGCCCGGCCCCGGGGCAGCAGGGAGTAGAGGGGCAGCAGGGATGTGGAATTCCTATCCCCCGATGCCCGGGACATGCAGTTCAGCCCGCCTGGCGGGTAGTTGCTTTCTACATTGAGCCCTGCTTTGGGCAAGCAGAACGAAATGTACAGCGAGGAAGCCACCGCTTGTTTTGTACAAGTGATCCCGGCGATGTTGCCGAGATCACTTGTATGCAGCCTACAGGTCTGCCATTCTCCATGGGGGGGGGTGAGTTTGGTGGGTAGGCGGGCGCATTGTAGGGTTGCCACCCGTCCGGTTTTCACCCGGACAGTCCGGTTTTGGTGTGTTGTGTACGGGTGCCCCGGCAGTGGGCACCCGTACACATCATACTCCGTGGCCGTGCCGACACTTTACATTTTCTGACAGGTGCGGCTGCTGAGGTCCTTGTCAAGCCCGATCTGAGCAGCCGCACCGCCGGAACTTCCTCTTCCTCCCTTCTTCTTATCCCCGTTAGAAAGCAGCTGCTGCTGCTCTCCCTTGTCAGCTCTGACGCTGCAAGGGTAAACAAAAAAAAACTTTTCTCCCTGCCCGATTCACTTACGGGCTCCTTTGCCTCATCAGCGGTCACATGTGCCTTTCTCCTCCCTCCTCAGCTGCTATTGGCTGGGAGGCAGAGTGTAGCACCACCATTGGCTGCCTGTGAATCTTAGGAGAGCTGGACAGGACCTGCAGAGAAGGCAGCTTGGGGATTTACATGGTGGAAATATCGATCCTCCCCCTCCCCCACCACCTGGAGAGGAAGAAGAGGGCATGAGGACATCAGCATTGTAAGTCCCTTTTCTATCTTACACTACTGACCGCACTGCACCACTTTACTGACCTCACACTGCGTCACTTTACTGACCTCCGCACTGCGTCACTTTACTGACCTCCGCACTGCGTCACCTTACTGACCTCCGCACTGCGTCACCTTACTGTGCACTGCCTCACCTTACTGACCTCCGCAATGCATCACCTTACTGACCTCCGCACTGCCTCACCTTACTGACCTCCGCACTGCCTCACCTTACTGACCTTCGCACTGCCTCACCTTACGTCACCCTGCGTCACCTTACTGGCCTCTGCACCCTGCGTCACCTTACTGGACTCTGCGCTCTGCATCACCTTACTGACATCTGCGCTCTGCGTCACCTGGTCGTTGATCATGTCGGCGGGCAGCGGCGAATCGGGCAGCTCACCGGGATGAGAGGGCCAGACACATGTCCTCAGCGTGGCGTAAGCGGCGTCACGTGAGCGGGTATACCGGCGTAGGCGCGAGCGACTTAAACGACGTGGGCGTGGCGTAAACAGCGGGCGTAAGTGGCGTAAACAGCGGGCGTAAGTGGCGTAAGCGGCGTAAGTGGCGTAAACGGCGGGCGTAAGCGGCGTGCAGCGGCGAGCGGGAAATTTGAATTTTAGCCGACGAATCGACGATGGAAAACGTTGACAACGTTTTCCATCGTCGATTTTAATCGACTTAATCGAATAACTGTTGCAGCTCTACATCCAACCAGCTTTCGGATGACCAGTGAAATACCTTCAAGAAAAATACAGCATGCATTTTCTATAGATGGTCTCATTACTCCCTCCCCTAGCTGCCTCTCCTCACTCTTTCCTCTATTCTCCCCAAAATTTTTAGTGGCGCTAGAGTGTTCGGGTTTCACTTGAAGAAAAGGTGGCAACCCTAGCGCATTGAGGAACCTGGCCTTGGGGCAGCAGAGAGAGTAAATCCGG